GGGCTTGGTTGCCAAAGCGACCGCTTCGGCGACCAGGCCCATAGAGCAGCGAGTCCGGCCCCGGCCTCGCTGTGGAATGCATTAGGCATTTTCAATGTTAAATTTGCCTCTACTTACGAAATTTTCGACATACGAAATGGCTGTCGGAACGGATTAATTTCGTAAGTAGAGGTACCACTGTATTCAACATGAAAGCACCTTCTTTCAGGCATTATTTAGGAGCTGTTGTTGTTGTTGTTGTTGTTGTTGTTGTGTGACTTGAAGTTATTTCTGACTTATGGTGATGATAAGGTGTTTCCTGTCAAGGTTTGATCAAAGGAGGTTTGCCATTACCGTTGTCTAGTGCTGAGAGAGTGTGACTTGCACAAGGCCACCCAGTGGGTTTCCAGGGCAGAGCCAGGATTTGAACCTTGGTCTCCCAGGGTCCTAATCCAATGCTCAAACCACTACACCACGCTGACTCTTACTCAGGACTTTATCACACAGGGGAAATCCCAAGCAGAAACAAGATTTAAAAACTGGGGAAAACCCACAAAAGTGGTTGATTTTCACACACATCACTGTTAAAGTGTTGTTAACCTGAAGAGAAAGTAATTAAAACCTGCTCCTTTTTAATTTCAGGATTTTCAGGATTTTCCAAAAGTAAAAAGAAGTAGCTTTTGACTACTTTCCGTTTGGGTTAACAACTCTTCAACATTGACATTGTCTGAAAATCTACCTGATTTTGTGGGGTCTTTTTCTATTTAAAACCCTATTTCTGCATGGAATTTTCCCCATGTGATAAAGTCCAAAGTTTAAAAAACCAAAGTCCTATTTGGTAAAGGTTGGAGGAAACAAAAATCCTAGCATGATTAACTGTGCATTCTTATTCTACTCATGATCAGATGGTGTTCTGGGTCTTTGTATGTTCATGGGAATCTGGGAATCTGGACTCTTTTGTCCTGAAAAAGCTTCTCTAGTGACAGTGAGGCAGGTGGCACCTCACCTACCTCTCCAACAGTCCTGAAGGGTTTCAGTCAGTCTCTCTTGTGCCTTGTAGCTTCCACACTTCTCTCCAAACTGGTTAACCTCAATGATCAATTGTCTCTCATGATCTTTGCTGTTCCTACTTAATGCTGAGCCCCAATAAATGGAACTAAAATCATCACATCATTAACCCTCTGTTTACCTGGAGGAGAGGTTATACTTCTCAGCTTTGTTGTTCAGATAATGGAAGAGCCCATCATCACAAACAGCTTAACAGTATATATATATATATATATATATATATATATATATATATATATATATATATATATATATCACAGGAAAATACATTGAAAATGTATGGCCTAATGTCACAATTTTAAGCAAAAATGCTATTCACCAATGTATAATATATCTGTTGGCTTTTCCAGACACCAACAACCCATTTTACACTATCTGACTTTCCAAAAGGAAAAACCTGATCATATGATAAGACAGGCAAAATTGTACTTCCTCTTCCTATAGTGTTAAATTATATCAGAAAAGCAATTCCTATAATAAGCCTCAATTGAGAAGAATTAACATATTGAGGAGGAGTTCAGTACCTGTATTTATAGCGAAGTTTTTAAAAAAATAATAATAAATGGCTGCTAAGGCAGAAATGGAGCTGCATAGAGTAATGCACCATATGCTACAATAATTAATGTGCTAATATAATAGACGATGCTGTCCATCTACTCTAAATTTATGCAAAATCTGGTACCTAGAACTGCATATGGATTTTCAAACAGTTTATCACTTTTCATTTTTAGAACAGTACTTATGGTTTTAGACTGCAGTTGCAGAGGTATGTGTGTAAATATTTAGCTAATAATCATATTCCAAAGCTTCTTGGGGATGTGATTTATTTATTTATTTATTTATTTATTTATTTATTTATTTAATTTCTACTCAGCCTTTTTTCCGTCAAGGGGAACAAAGCAGCTTCTAACATTGTAAAACATTTTCCAATTAAAATCATATTTACAAAATTAAAAAAAAATAAAGACAGTTCTATTGAAAAAAATACATAGGGCATGACTACATGAGCCAATTAAACATATTCTGCATCAAAAATGTGGAACCACTTTCATAGGGGGCATACACCTGGGTAAGACAACAACATGATTCTGTCCACTGTTTTTCTAGTTCTCAGATGACTCTGCTATCACTGATAGAATAATTGAATCATAGAGTTGGAAGGGACCACAGTTCCATCCAATCCTGCACCCTGTCATGCAGGAATACACAACAAAAAGAAATATGCCTATCCAATCTCTTTTTATTGTTGTTAGCTGCCCTCAAGTCAACTTTGACTTGTAGTGGCCCTATGGATGGGACAGCTCCAAGATTCCTTGTCCTCAACTGCCTGGCTCAAGTACTGTAGGCTTAGGCCCATGGCCTTCTTGATCGAGTATAAGCATCCAGCATGTGGTTTTCCTCTCTTTCTACTACCCTCTATCTTCCCCAGCATTATTGTTTTTTCTAATGATTCATGCCTTCTCATGATGTGATCAAAGTACAGCAGTCTCAATTTAGTCATCCTGGCTTCCAGGAGAATTCTGGCTTGATCTGTTCTAGGATCTGTTGTTTGTCTTCTTGGCTGTTCATGGTATCTTCAGCACTCTTCTTCAGTACCACATCTCAAACAAGTTGATTTTTCTTCCATTGGCATTGTTCACAATTTTTTAAAAAAGATCTCCACAGATGGAGAGTTCACCATCCTCCAAGGCAATGTATTCCACTGTCAAACAATGCTTGTAGTAAAAAGGTTCTGCCTAAAATTTAGGTGGAATCTTTTTCATGGTTTGAGTAACTTTTATGCCCTGTACATATTTTTTTGCATTGCTTTTCTCTTGTCCAAGGTCAGCTGATGTGTTTTCATGGCTTGGTGAGGATTTGACTCCTGGCCCCTCAGAGTCCAACAGTCAAATCCCTATAAATCTTTATGGGATGTTGTTATTTGCTGTCAAGTCAACTTCAATTTATGGCAACCATGAGCACGAGAGACCTACAAGAGTCCCAGTCATTAATTGCCTTGCTCAGTTCTTGCAAAGTCAGGTTTCTGGCTTGCTTCTGTGACTATCTCTAAAACACATTGATATCTAGAAATAGCCCATCATGGTACATTTCAGGAAGATATCCCTGGGACTCCCTGGCATGGCATTTTAGGAGATTATTGCACATGTTTTTCACATGGTCTGGGCACAGGTATAAATCACTTAAAAATAGATGTTTTTGCACACCTCCATGCCCAGCTCAGAGGCATCGTGTACCCAATCGGTACTTCTCCCGGACTTCACAAAGAATGGGGAAGTCCCATTCTTTGCCAAGTCCAGATCAGGTATACGATACCTCTGAGCTGGGCATGGAGGTGTGAGAAAACATCAGTTTTTAAGTGGTTTATGCCTGTGCCCAGCCTGTGTCCATCCAATGAGATAAATGTGTATGAGAATCTCATTTGCTAATATGGTTTGTTGGCTGTCCAGGTGAAGAAAAAGGATGTGTTTTTAACTATAGACACAGGGATTCCTCTGTGTGCTTGGAAGCTCCCAGGAAAGGCAATATAAACATACCAATCAACAGCAGTGGAGGACTTGGACATGAGCCCCCCAATGATTTCTCAGAGATCTGTTTAACATAAGGCTAAATCATAGAGGATTCTGTTTTCCAGACACATCTGGGCAAGGCCTTTGTCAAGATGGAAGACTAGGTCTGTCACAGTGGGGTCATTAACACAGATGCATTCTTCAATGTGACAGTTTGCTTTTTCCTGGGGGGGGGGGGGAAGCAGAATTCAAAAGCCTTTTGAGTAATGTGTCAAGCTAGAGGGAGGCTCAGGAGACACACAGTCACACAGCTAGATACATTTTATAAATAAGGACCTACTTAGTGGCCTAGCTGGATTTGTTCAGGCTGTTCTTTTACATTCTTGTTCTAATCCAATTAAATTAGCTGAACCAGATGTTCGGCTGCTGTGAATAGCAAAGCTGGTTGAAATCAATGGAACTTCAGTGATTTCCACCATTTGGGACTCTAGCTCCACTGTGCATCAATAGAAAGATGCTTTTTTTTTTTTTTTGGACAATGCACTGTTTTCCAGCTAAAAGGTATCATCGTGTTATGTCTTTGACCCAGTAAAAACTATTTTATATTTCGGAAGAGTTATTATGAATGTTAACCTGGCATCTCCTGAAAAGGGAAATAAAAGAAAGTGATGACAGTTTCCATAAATAATAGAGCACTTCCTTCCAAACATTAAACCATACTATCTTGTTGCACACAATGTCAAGGTCTTGCCAATTCCTGAACATCAATATTTTAAAAGTTTCCTGTTGCAATAAAAGGCCACCTTTAAAATAAATCAAAATTATAATCATTCCAGAAAGAGCACCCATGGCTGTGAGATATACCCGCTTGTCTATGCGATTTTACTATCAGGACTTTTGTGATATCAGGATTTTTATGTTGGTGGGTAGCTACTAGTGGTCTGGGAGTTGCATCAACTTTTCCAGGACTGATGCTCTGATTCTCC